CCACTTTTGGACTCTCGCTTGCTGAGTTGTTCCAGAGAGTGTCTCTGTAGATCGTAGAAAACTATTTCTAGATTTAAGTCGTTGACGTGCTGGCTGATACCCAAACGGGATGAGCTGGAGATGTCTCTGCCTTGGTCCTTTCACTATTGGCTGCTACTTCCCGGAGGATGTCAGGTGGTACAATACCGGCTAAGCAGTGTAATTTCTCCAGTAGTGTAGGGCACAGACACCCCGTGATAATGCGGCATGTCTCATTACGGGGTGTCTGCGCCCTACACCACTGGAGAAATTACACTGCTTAGAATGCTAGTTCAACTGTATAATGATTTCTTAGCTCAATTTGAAACAGTTACAGGGAATGAATTACTCATTTCCGTAAACATATCAATGAAATTCAAAATATGTTTTGCACTTTCAAGTCCAAGAAAAGCTATTCTGTCCACCTCAACCAAGGCTGCCCCTCTCAACTCCCCCCCCCCCTCCCGATTCACTTTCAACCATAGCATTTTTAAAAATATGTCCATTTTCTCAAAGGGTTCATATGTAGAATCTTTTTGCTGCATACTATCCTGACATTTGTATTGTGAATACATTTTAAATGTAGAAGCATTTCATTGTAGCTTAACTGTGTTTTAACTTATACTCATGACACAATGTAATTGTTTTTAATTTTTGTATTTGCCATTTTAAAATTTATTCAGTTGTGTCATGTAATTATGAACCATTTTGAGCATCCATGGGGAGAAAGGCAGGGTAGAAATAAAGTACATAAATAAATTAAGTATTTACAAACATTCTATCCTAGCATAAAAAGGCATAAAAGAAATAACAGCCCCTTTGAAACCAACTGGGAGAAGAAATTTCTAACGTAAACTTTCATGGACACAGTCCACTTTATCAAATCCTAACATTAGTTAGTATATCTGCTGACCCAAATTTGTTCTATTGGTTCATTGATTACATTACTTGTGTTGATATTTTTCCACTGGGTTGCAAAAATCTAGGACTGGGTGCCTATTTGGACATACAATTTTTGCTTAAAAATGCCTTCCCCTCAAACCAACAATTTGAATCCTGTTATACTATCAAGATCGATGCTTCCCATGCTATTTAATGTGGAGGGCCAGCAATGTGCCACTGGATTCAAATGTTTCCTTCTTTCCTGGAAACTAAATAGGGATCAACTGCCTATGGCTTCAGGACCAGGATCAGCACCAGTTGGTGGATGGAAAGCTGAAACAGTACAGGGCACATCTACACTGTAGAATTTATGTAATTTAACATCACTTTAACTGCCAGGGCTCAATCCTATGGAATCAGGGAGTTGTATGCTGCAAGTCCTGAGTGTGGAGAAGAACAAAGCACAGACTACATATTACACTGCCACATGCACAATGGAGAATCTTCTTATAGCAACACCAGAGGCACTCCAAGTTGGCCAGCTACTGGTCAAAGGACATTTAGTATAATGCCCAGTTTTAACTTTGTTTGTGTTGTTAAATACATTACAACTGTACCCTCAATTCAATTCTGATACGATACATAAATGGGAGTTGTAGTTTTGCAAGGTCTTATCGTCTCTGTCCAAGTGTCTTTGCTTCTCAGCCCAAGACTGATGGTCTCTCAGAAAACTAAAAAATGATCAACAGTCCAGAAACCAAGCCCTATGAGGAGCGGCTGAGGGAGCTGGGTATGTTTAGTTTGGAAAAAAGAAGGCTGAGAGGGGACATGATAGCTGTTTTTAATCACATTGAGGACAGGGTGGACATGTTTTCTGCTCATCAGGAGACTAGGATATGGAGTAATGGATTCAAATGGCACGAAGAGATATTTCACTGGGAAGAGGTTCCTGATGTTAAGAGCTGTTTGGCAACAAAATATGCTGCCTGGTGGAAGAATGGTGGAGTCTCATTCTCTGGGTTTTTTTTAAAGAGAGGTCGGATAGCCATTTGTCGGTGGTGCTTGGATTGTGCTTTTCTTGCATAACAGAATGGGTTTGGACTGGATGGCCCTTTGGGTCTCTTCCAACTCTATCAATTCAATCTTTTCGGAGGTAGCTGAAGACATGGCTATTCAAACAGGCCTTTGATAATGGTTAAGGTATAATCTATATAGGATGACCTAAATGGAATTCTACTCTGATAATTTAAAGCTGATACTTTAACCCGTCTTGTGGCTAGGATGTTAAACTCTGTATAGTTTGCTTTTAATTACAATCTTGTTTGGTTTTTTAATGTTATTTCATTTACACCTGTAAATTATAATTTTATGTTACTTGGAACTGCCAGGGAAACCCGCCTCTCGCTCCCGCCACTGTTATATGCACAATTGTTGGGGATGAGGGAGAGGGCCTTCTCAATGGTGGCCCCCCAACTTTGGAAGTCCCTCCCCAGAGAAATTAAGCAAGCCCCCACACTGTCCTCCTTCCATAGGAAACTGAAAAACTGGATGGTCAGCAGGTTTCCGAGAATTATTAGTCCCTAGATCTTTCCCCAGTCTATCAGACAGTACTCTGTTCTGCACTTTACCTACTTCCCCGGCCCTATGATACATTGTTCCACTATCAATTGCACAGCCCTTTATAGTTGGCCATGCCCATTTTGTAATCCTGGCCATTGGAATTTTGAACCCATCTGATGGAGTTACAATTAATTTTTTTTTAAAAAAAGAAAAGAAAAACTGTATGTTTTAGCGGGACTTTATGTGTTATGATGTTCATTTTAATTTATCTGTATGGTTTTTCTTTTGTGGCAATTGAATGTTTTGCCTTTTATGTTGGAAACTGCACTGAGTCCCCTTGGGGAGATAGGATGGTATACAAATAAAGTTTTTTTTATTATTATTACTATTATTATTATTATTATTACTGATTTTAGTTAAATTTTGTGTATTTATGTATTATGTTTTGCACTGTGTTGCCTTGTAAGTCTCCCGAGTTCCTTTTGGGGAGATGGAACAAGATATAAATAAAGTTGTTGTTGTTGTTATATTATTATTATTATTATTATTATTATTATTATTATTAAGTCTATGATTCTATGATCATGTTGAGTAATTCTCCGTGGGCTTTTATTATTTATTTATTTATATTTATAGCATTTATATTCCGTACTTCTCGCCCTGAAAGGGGACTCAGGGTGGAGCACAACATATATGAATGTTTATGAACCCACGCGCTCACTTTGGTCATCCGGAGAGGCCCTGCTTGTGATTCTACCAGCGTTGCAGGCGCGTTTGGTGCAGACGTGAGACAGGGCCTTTTCTGTGGTGGCCCCTCGACTCTGGAACACCCTCCCAAAAGATCTTAGACAGGCCCCTACATTGGCAGTCTTTAGAAAGAACTTGAAGACCTGGTTGTTCCGATGTGCCTTTCCAGAATAGGAATCTCCAATAACAAGTCCCAGAAGCACTTTATTAGAACTAAGATTGCTGCACACCGCACATTGCACTTACCCTATAATACTTACATATCACCTGTCACATCAGCACTTTTAATCCTGTACCCATTACTCTGGCCCGGCCCAGTTTTATAGTGTCTTGATGTATTGTTTATTGCTTGTTCTTTAATATTGTTTTAATTGTTTTAAATTTGCTTTAGGTGTTGGTATTGTTATGTTGTGTTTTGAGGTCTTGGCGTTTGTAAGCTGCATTGAGTCCTTCGGGAGATGCTAGCGGGGTACAAATACAGATAATAATAATAATAATAATAATAATAATAATAATAATAATAAATGGCAAACATTCAATGCTGGAACATAAAATAAACCATAAATACACATAAACACTAAACATACTATGTATATGCAAGTTATAATTATGTATATACAAGTCTCCTTAACACATTCGGTCAGGTAAAATTGGACAAAGAGCAGAACAAAGTCCTAAATATTGTGATAAAACTAGACAGGGCAAAATAAAAGTCATTAAGGAATGCAGAATTCATGCCGTATGACACTGACATGGCTCAATGGAATGGAATCGTGGGAGTAGTGGTGTTACAACAGGCACGGGCAAACTTGGGCCCTCCAGGTGTTTTGGACTTCAACTCCCACAATTCCTAACAGCCTCGGGCCCTTTCCTTTTTCCCCTCAGCCGCTTAAGCACTTAAGGGGCAGGGCCCGAGGCTGTTAGGAATTGTGGGAGTTGAAGTCCAAAACACTAGGAATTGTGGGAGTTGAAGTCCAAAACACCTGGAGGGCCCAAGTTTGGCTGAGGGAGAAAAGGAAAGGGCCCGAGGCTGTTAGGAATTGTGGGAGTTGAAGTCCAAAACACCTGGAGGGCCAAAGTTTGGCTGAAGGGGGAAAAGAAAGGGCCCGAGGCTGTTAGGAATTGTGGGAGTTGAAGTCCAAAACACCTGGAGGGTCCAAGTTTGGCTAGGGGGGGGGGGAAGAAAGGGCCCGAGGCTGTTAGGAATTGTGGGAGTTGAAGTCCAAAACACCTGGAGGGCCCAAGTTTGCCCATGCCTGTTTTACAAGGTCTTTCACTTTCTCTGCTCAAGAGAGTTGGTGCCTCGCTAAATTACAGGCCTCACGATTCCCTAGTGTTGAGCCATGGTAGTTGAAGTAGTGTCAAACTGCACTCATTCGACGGTGCAGATGCAGCCACGGGGGTGCTGCCCGTCCTCGTGTCCCAAGGCCAAAGCGCGAGGCCACTTCCTCCTCTTTTCCGCCCGAAAGCGCGCGCGGAGGCCTAGCCCTGGCAAGCCGGGCGCCGGCTCCCCGCGCCACCTTCCCTTCCTTCCCCGGGGCCTGTCGGCGGGTCCACGTCCCTCTCCCCAGTAAGTCAAAGTTCTTCGGTCCCAGGAGGCTGAGAGGGCGAGGCGCCTGATTTCCTCACGAGGAAGGAAACTGCGGGGGGCAAAGGAGGCCTCGGCACACTGCTGGAAGGAAGGAGGGAGGCCTCGCTCCCAGAGAGGCCTCGGCAAGGCTTCCCGCCCAACTCCCGCTCCGAGCGGGGCCTCCACAACAAACGGGCCTGCTCTGAGGGCCTTCCTTACCCACCTCCTGGTTGAAGGCGTTCACAGCCTCCATGTTGTCGGTCGGCGACGCGGAGGGGTCCACAACGGCGGCGGAGGAAGGAAGAAAGGAAGGAAGCACTACTCCCAAGCTTCAAGGCCTGGGCGCGAACATGTCCGTTTGGCGGCGGCGGCGTCTCGCTGGCGAGGGAGAAGCACAGAGCGTCTCTCTCTCTCTCTCTCTCCCACCCGGCAGGACGGCGGAGGCCACGCCGCGAACTGCACCCTGGGATAGCGCAGGCCTCCGGACCTCGCGCCACCCCTCAGAAGGGGAGGGGGAACTGGAGGAGGAGGAGGAAGAGGCGGAGGCAGCCGCCATAGACAAACGAACGGACGCTGCGCGCGCATCCTTCTCGCGCCTCTTGCCTCGCGCAGGCCTTCCAGGAAGGCATTCGGCTTCTTTCCGCTCAGCGTCTCCTCGGGACTTTTCCCACAGAAAAAAAAAGCAACACATCACTTTAACTGCCATGGCTCAATGCTGTGGAATCCTGGGAGCTGTAGTTTTACAAAATTGTCAGCTTTCCCTGCCAAAGAGTAATAATAATAATAAAAACTTTATTTGCACCCCGCTACCATCTCCCCATCTAGAAATAGTTTTCTAAGATGTACAGAGACACTAGCTGGAACACCTCAGCAAGCAAGAGTCCAAAAGTGGCAGGCTCAAACCCAGCACCTCAACCAATGGCTGATACTAAATGAGAGACTCCCCCCTGGGCACACAGAGGACTGGGCGACTTGGAAGGCGCTGAACAGACTGCGCTCTGGCACCACGAGATGCAGAGCCAACCTTCAGAAATGGGGCTACAAAGTGGAATCCTCGACATGCGAGTGTGGAGAAGAGGAAACCACTGACCACCTGCTGCAATGCACCCCGAGCCCTGCCACATGCACAATGGAGGACCTTCTTGCAGCAACTCCAGAAGCACTCCAATTTATTTATTTATTTTATTTCAAGTACTTCTACCCCGCCCTTCTCAACCCCCGAGGGGGGACTCAAGGCAGCTTACAAAAAAGGCACAATTCGATGCCTACACAAAATACACATACGTACAAAGCAGCAGTTAAAACAATTATCACAGTTAAAATAGTCGGTATAGTGGCCAGATACTGGTCAAAGGACATTTAATCAACTACCAAACCCACAAATTTTGTATCTTGTCTGTTTGTTTGTTTGCTTTGTTCTGTTAGAAATGTAATATAATTGACCGGTTGCCCTGACACGACAAATAAATAAATACCCTCTCCCCAAGGGACTCGGTGCGGCTTACATAAGGCCAAGCCCACAATACATCAAGAACACAACATCAATAAAACAATACAATACAATACAATTCAAATAAATCACATAAACAAAAACTTAGCAATAAACAATCAACAGTGACATGCAAGCATTTAAAACCAATGGCCGGACCAAATGTAATAAATGAGAGGAGATTCCATCTGAACATTAGGAAGAACTTCCTGACTGTGAGAGCTGTTCAGCAGTGGAACTCTCTGCCCCGGAGTGTGGTGGAGGCTCCTTCTTTGGAAGCTTTTAAGCAGAGGCTGGATGGCCATCTGTCAGGGGTGATTTGAATGCAATATTCCTGCTTCTTGGCAGGGGGTTGGACTGGATGGCCCATGAGGTCTCTTCCAACTCTTTGATTCTATGATTCTATGATTCTAATAGATTAAAATTAAAAAATAATGCTGACGTGAACAAGATGGGATATAACTGGGATAGGATTTTCAGAGAGAAATAAGGGACCACAGTCAGTCCTAAATGAGTGGTAAAGTGCATTTTGAGGGCACATTGCTGAGAGTTTTCCTTATTCTGGGAAGGCACGCTGGAACAACCACGTTTTCAGGCTCCCACCAAACTACAGCTCCCTTTGAGGGATTACATAGCATTGAGCTGTGGCAAATGAAATAATGTCAAACTGCATTAATTCCACAGTGTCGATGCACCCTCAGTCTCCCTAATCCAAACTGCCTGAGTTGTTCATTCATTCTGTCGTTTCCGACTCTTTGTGACCTCATGGACCAGCCCACGCCAGAGCTCCCTGTCGGCAGTCACCACCCCCAACTCCTTCAAGGTCAGTCCAGTCACTTCAAGGATGCCATCCATCCATCTTGCCCTTGGTCGGCGCCTCTTCCTTTTTCCTTCCATTTTCCACAGCATAATTGTCTTCTCGAGGCTTTCCTGTCTCCTCATGATGTGACCAAATCTTGGCCTCTACTCTCCTTCCCTCCAATGAGCAGTCGGGCTTTATTTCCTGAAGCATGGACTGGTTGGATCTTCTCACAGTCCAAGGCGCTCTCAGAACTTTCCTCCAGCACCACAGTTCAAAAGCATCGATCTTCCTTCGCTCAGCCTTCCTTATGGTCCAGGTAAATTTCAGGCAAAAATTGGAATGATAAGAAACAAAGATGGCAGGGACCTAACAGAAGCTGAAGAGATCAAGAGAAGGTGGTGAGACTATACAGAAGATCTGTATAGGGAAGATAATAATATCAAGGATAGTTTTGACGGTGTGGTGAATGAATTAGAACCAGACATCCTGAGGAGTGAGGTTGAATGGGCCTTAAGAAGCATTGCTAACAACAATACAGCAGGAGACGACGGGATCCCAGCAGAACTGTTTAAAATCTTGAAAGAGGATGCTGTCAAGGTGATGCATGCCATTTGCCAGCATATATGGAAAACACATCAGACTTCCGTACAGTGGCCCTTAGTTCTCATGCCAGTAAGGCAATGCTCAAGATCCTGCAAGGAAGACTCCAGCAATACATGTAGTGAGAGCTGCCAGATGTACAAGCTGGGTTTAGAAAACGCAGAGGAACAAGAGACCAAATTGCCAATATCAGCTGGATAAATATCTATTTCTGTTTTATTGACTATTCTAAAGCCTTTGACTGTGTGGATCATAACAAATTGTGGCAAGTTCTTGATGGTATGGGCATACCAAATCACCTTATCTCTCTTCTGAGGAATCTGTATAAGGACCAAGTAGCAACAGTAAAAATTGACTATGGAACAACAGACTGGTTCAAGATTGGGAAAGATGTGCGGCAGGGTTGTATACTCTCACCTAACCTATTCAACTTGTATGCAGAACACATCATGCGATGTGCAGGGCTTGACGAATGCAAGGCTGGGGTGAATATTGCTGGAAGAAACATTAACAAACTGCGTGGGACCCAGTGGTTTTTGGATTTTGGAGTACTGTAGCTATGTAATACAATATTATAATAATAAAATTAATAATAATGCAATATTATAATTTTATATTTTATATTACATGTAATATTACTAATAATATTACAGTACAATGGTATAGTACAATATAATAATATATAATACTGATATTGTACTATGCTAATAATATAATATATTGTATGTATATATATCTTGTAAGCCGCTCTGAGTCCCCTTTGGGGTGAGAAGAGTGGCATATAAATGTCGTAAATAAATAAATATTTCCATATAAATACATAGTTGTCTTAGGGCCCTTCCAGAATATCATAGCAGATTGCTGAAAGTGAGGAAGACCTAAGGTGCTTTCTAACCAAGATGAAAGAACAAAGTGCAAAAGCTGGGTTGCAGCTCAACATAAAAAAATCAAGATCATGGTGATGACCCCCCAGGTAGCGGAATCTCCCGCCTTCAAGTTGGTTTGAAAGCGCAGCAGGGAGTTCCGCAGTTCCGGGGAGCCAAGTTGGATCCGACTGATGGAACGTGCCCCAGCCAGCAGCTCAGGGCAAAGGACTGCATGAAGCCTTTTCTTTCACTTTCCCCTCTCCCTCTCTTTGTAACAAATCCCTCAATAAAACACTTAAAGTTTGCAACTTTAAATCTTTTCCGCTTGTTACTTTGTGTCCCCTTTATTGCCGGAAACCTTCTAACACAAAAATAAACCTTTTCTGAGCTCCGGGGAACCGTGAGCTCACTGGGGACGCCTTCCTGGCCTCCCCAGGCCTCCGAATTTGCGTTAGTTCAAATCGTGGATACGGAGATTTTCCTATTGGCCCCCCTTATCCGCCAAAACAACGGCTTGGCGGATCGGGCCCGTTCAAATTTTGCCTTCCTCTACACTAAATTATAAGACTAACTGCCATCTTGGTTTTCCCATTTTGGACTCCTGCACTCGTGAAATAATTGCTTTTTGTTTAATCATTAAATTCGGCCGAGTCACCAGCTGATTGTCAAATTCGCCGGCTTTTGCCGCTTGCTTCATTCCCCTCGTCGCTGCTTGCTCCAGCATGGTTCCCGCCGCCTGCGATCCGCCACGATTCCCCCAGGAGAAGCCTTGGAAGTGGGGACCGGGCAGGGAAGGCCCGATCCCCGGTTGGGAGCGCTAGTTCCACCAAGGACGGGACAGCGGAACGTAGCTCCCCCTTAGCTCCAGCTCCTGTTTCAACAATGAACTGATCTTCTGATGGCCAGCCTAAGCCATAGGCTGGCCCCTGCCTCCAAAACCCCTCCGTCCAGGCTTTTGGGATCTCTAGACTTTCTTTTCCTTTTTATGAAATGAAATAAAAATAAAATACTTTCTTATGGATGGGGGTTGGGATGGGTGGTGGGTTGTGGTGTATGAAATGCCTGTATATTAGTGATGCCTGTACTTTATGAATATGAAATATGTACCCCTATGAACTCCACTGTATCTTCAGCCCCTTGACCCCTTACCCCATAAAACCAGCATGACCAGGAACTGCCTGGGGGAAAGAGCCCAAGCCTCTTTCCCCCTAATCACCCATTGATTGACTCATTTTGCATGGACAATGCTGCTGGCCCCCGATTTCGCCATCGGAGCAAGACCAACGAAGGAGGGTTTGGTCAGCAGAGCCCCGGAAAGAAAGGACTGATTAACTCAACCAGATACTGTTGATCCTCCGGGCGGTCCAGTATCGATCCAGCTATTCAAATCCCTTGCCAGACCCATCAAGAACAGGAAAGCCTTTGTTTGGCAAATATCACCCTCTTCCCGCCTTGGACAATGGCCCGCATTCCAGCGGGCAGGAAATCCCAAATCCCATCATCTTTCCCCCATTGTCCGCGGCTGTCACGCCTCCTCGCTCCTGATTGGCCAGAACCCGGGAAGCGAGCAGAGGGCGCCCATTGGCCCTCCCGAGGCGAAGAAACGCTCCCATTGGCTCCTGACGGGGGAGGGCGGGATTACCTCCTCCCAGCTGTTCCAGCCTCAGCCAATCAGCGTGAAGCCGGCTGACAGGGGGGCGGGCGGGATTTTCAAACTGCTTTCTTTGTTTCACTCTGTATAAAAATGCCTGGAAATTCTTGTGCTGCATGCTCTGCAGTGGAATGATTCCTGTATTGCA